TAACGTGTGTTTAGTATAGAAAGGATGTCACAGCTCTGGAGCCCCTGCAAACCTGTTCTGTGTAGCAGTTCTGTGCCTACTGTGGTGGCATGTCATGGTTTTCAATTGCTTGCAATTTGCATGTCATTACATTACCTAGAACACTCTTCCAATTAACACCAGTTTCTTAGCGAGGCTGCTGCCTCGGTTCTGGGAGCAAAGTGAAAGGTCTGAGCAGATGCTTTTGGATACAGGGAATTGTATATTCCTATTGCAATAAAATGGGAAAATTGAATTCTCTTGGAATTGCAGCTAATGAATCCAAATGACTGTCACACAGTGCTGTTGTCTTTTGGATACAGGAGGCACGTGCATTTGAGCAGCCTGAGTGCCAGTTCTTCAGATACAGTCACAGAACAGGAAACGGTGCATCAAAAAATTCTACTTGTGCATTGTTGTCTCATCCCTTGCCCTGCCTAAATATTTCACCACAGTGTAATGTTAATGGTTTAATTAGATATTGCACTTACTCACCCATGGCCGATTTGCACTATTTTTGCACTTTTATCTCTTTACCTTCTTTTTCCTTTCATTTTCTTTTTCCTTCACACAGGAAATAATTTTGAGCATGGAAGAGCTTAGAATGCTATATTTATAGAAATACTAGAAATATATGTTTAAATTTTTTTACATGGATTTAGATGGTATATTTGTTACAAACTCTAAAGAGTAAAATGAATTTGGGTAACAGAAGGATGAGTTTGTGGCCCAAGAGGCACAATGGGCTATATTGTCAGGTAAAATAAATCAATGTTGCAACATAAAACTCAAAAATATATAAAATATATAAAAGGCTGTTGTGCATTTTTGTAGTGGAGGATGGTGTGTCCCACTGATTCCAACTTGGTTATGTGGGACAAACAAACCTGAGGAGTTCTGAGGCACTTCCATACCATTATGTGTTGGTCCTACGTGATTCCCTCTAATGAGATGCCCTAAGATAAGCCTGGTACCTGTGCCTCACTAGATTTTTTAATGCCTCCCAGCAGGCTAGGTGAAAAACTTTAAAACATACAGAAAAGTTTGGATGTTTTTCTGAGCCCCTGTAAGCTTCAGGCTTTGATTTAGTAGTGTCATTATTTTAGACTGTGTTATGTATTTGTTTTCAGATCCTGGTGATAATACAGGTACCTCAAGCACATTTTTCTTGGGTGTATTATTCAGCCCTCTACATGGAATCTGCATGCAACATGGAAAAATCTCCCTGAAGCTTGTTAGGGGACTTGAGGGTATGCAGCCCTGATGTTGGCACCTTCCTAATTAATCCAGACTAAAATGAACAAGGCGAGGGGCAGAAGTACATACAAACAATCTCAAAAAGGGTCGTGTCTGTCTTGTTTTCCTAACCCAATTAACCCTGCTCTGGAGGAGTGATTGTTTTATACTAATACTGTGTTTATCTGATTTCATTGTTCTAGCCAGCCAAGCCAGGGACCTTTTATCAAAGATGCTGGTCATTGATCCGGCCAAGCGAATATCAGTAGATGAAGCCTTACAACATCCATACATTAATGTCTGGTATGACCCAGCAGAAGTGGAGGCGGTAAGTGAGGCGTGACTCCTTCCTTCAGACTGCGAAACGCAGATATGATTCATGAAATCTTGCTGCTTTACAGCAGCTTGCTAACGAGCATGCTATAAAGAAACAATGCTGTTGTGACTGTGGTGGTCTTTGGATTTATGTGAAATGAGATGTGCGGGGACAGGTTATAGCTCTTTGTTAGATTAACTGACAGTAGCTGGGAGAAGCAAAACCACTTCAAGCATATGAAGCCGTTTCTGCTTTCTTCTAGACAACACAAAGAAAGGATTTTGAACCCAGTAGCTCACCTGGCTTTTCTAGCTATGTGTCAGTCTGGCTAAAGATACTATCTTTCTCTAGAAACCTCTCCTTGTGGGAAACGGCAAACATCACTTTCTGTGTTTGTGTTCAGGGATATATGTGGAGAATTAAACAAAACAAGACAAAATCCTGAAGTTGGGATCAGAAAAATCTGAGGGGGGCATAAATTCTCCCTTAAAATGAAGCAGGGGCTCGTGTGTTTTCCTGGGCCACGGTTCAGTGTTCAGTATCATGTACATTGTGTGCAAACTAAAGTGGAATTTTTCTTATGATCCTGCCATGCTCTAGACGTGCTCAATGCCCTGTATACCTTGGTGAGGCTCAGGTTAAAGGGAATATGTGCAATGTGGAGGCACTTGAGTGAAGTGCTGTAATATGTGTAGGTATAAATTCAGAGGTGTTCTCTGCAATACTCATCATGTATGAAAACAGAGCTCTGTATTTCTCAGCAGCTTTAGAAATCTTACTTAACCACAATAGGAAACTAAGACTCTGAACTTTGCAAAATTAAGTCACTGCTGTTTAGCAATCTGCTCCGATTCAGTGTGTGTTCTTGAAAGCGCAATAAACTTCAAAAGTAAGCAGAATGCCTAAAACCCCATCAAATTTTATGCACTTAGGATTTTTCCAGAGTATGTTACTTATGAGTGCTTTATAGGGGATGGGCCTGCTATCAAGAGAGCCTTTAGTTTTTGTGTCCCGTTGAGTTTTCCTCAAGACTAAAAGTTTATCAGTCTGTAGCGTAAACATTTGATACCTTGCAATATTTTACCCCCTGGCACGTACATTTTAGTTTCACATCCCTGTTGAAGATCTCATTCCGTTGTCAGATACTTTTGTTGTATTTCCGTGCATTTCTTAACTCTGTTTTACTGAAGTACTCTGATGTCAGAACTCAGATTTGGGTCCCTCTTTAGATGTGCTTTGCTTGTGAATGTAACTGTGGGGAGCAACTTGTGATGCAGAACAGGGAGGGAATCTGGTACAGTGGATTTTTCCATGTAATGATTTGCCCGATTTCCAAATGTATGGCTCTTGGTTGTACTTCAAATTGAAGCAGAGGTTGAATTTTTGTCATGATGAGGTTGCCCTTTCAGAAGGAAAAGCTTGCCACACACCTAGAAGTACAGCTGATACGGAACCTCATGTTACTGTTTTCTTACACTGACAGAGATCAGGGTACATCTATAGCTGAAGAGGTAACGGTTAAATTTCTGATTGTACCAGAGAGACCTCACGGGATCTAGAACAAACCACATCCTTTCTCTGGGTCATGACTGTAAAACAGGAATAATAATTGTTTGTTTTGCCTGCCAGGTGAATTGGCTGGGATGTAATGAGCCTACTTGCTCTCAAAAGCCTGCAGTAATTACATTCTAGTTCATTGAGGCATTAATCTCTCACATGCACCTCCTATCACCACAGATACCTGGACAAACGTGGTGCCACATGCTGTCAAATCGCAGTCCTTGCATTTTCACTGCTGGCTGCATTTCATTGCTCAGTGAACGACTACAGAAGGTGTAAAGCAGTGGGAAATCAAACTGTCATTGCTCCTCCCATAGCACCTCAAAGAACAAAGGAACTCCTGTGAGGAAGGAACAGCACCCTCAAATGTTCAACTTCAAATGCTCAAAGTTGTTCCTGTTACTTGTAGTTTGCATCTCGGTCTGAATTGCATCTTTTTAGATAATCACTGTTCTCTTCACCCACCTGGTTCTTTGCACAGTTACTGGGTTAGTTAACACAAGCTGAATATCAGTGTCCCCAGCTGCTTTCTTCAGAAAGCTCTTAACTTCACAGCTTTCTCTTCCAAAACATGCTATGTCTTGTCAATAACATACTGTAGAATCATACTAACACTTCTGTCGTGAGTACCTTGACAGTCAAGTGCAATTGAATTGCCTTGACACCAGTCACTCTCTGGTACAGAGACCCTTCTTCTCTTGGGATCATGGCAGGTTGAAAACCAGGATGGTTCAGGTTGTGTGCAGTGTAACCTACACAGAGAACATGGGATTAATAAATGCTCATTGCATTTTGTCGGAGTGCTAGGAATTCTGGACAGAGCCTGGCTTCACTTAACACTCATTATTTTTCCAATCCCATTTTCAGAAGGAAAGTTAAACTGCAGGACTTTGTTGTTGTGATTTAACAGTTTATTAAATTCTAAACTTCCATCTGTTCATGCTGACACACCTTCAGTGGCTAGCTGTGAATCATTTACTCATTATTTTCTGGAGAAAACTTAACTCAGTTGGATTCTCTTTGCCTCTTGATTCAGCTGCTGAAGTGCAGTCAGTTCGTGTGTTTCATCAGCGTTGCCTCAATGATGGAATAAGTTTCTCAAACATTCATGGGAGATAGGTGGCTTTCTGCTCTTTCTGAAGTGTCCTGAGGTTCTGGGACTGCTACAAGTGGCAGTGCCTGTACGAGGAGTAGTTGTTGCTACACTGCAAAGGTTTTACTTGTGCCTCTGTGAGACAACTTGCCAGTTGTGGCTGAACGCTTGATGTCGGATTGGCTGGTAGTTCTTTAGAAAACAGCAAGGTACCTGGATGTGATAAACTTGTTTGTTGGTAAAGAGAGTGATTTCGTGCTTCAAGCATGAAGTAAGTTGTTTCCTCTGGGAAGAAGCTGTGTTGGTGTGCACAACAGGCTGTGTCCCTCTGTCTGTGACCTCAGACATGGACCCAGGGAACCTAGTGTAACATCCAGAATACCTTTGGGAGTATCTTGTAGCTCTGTGCTGACACGTGATGTCTTAAATGATTACAGTAGTGCAGTAATTTATATTAAGCCATAAGCCCCAGGCTCTGTATTGTGCTAATCACAGAACTGCCTTGATTAGAAAAGACCTTTAAGATCAAGTCCCATCATTAACCTCACACTGACAAGTCCCCAACTAAACCATGTCCCTCAGCACTGTGTCTACACAACTCTTCAACCCCTTCCAATGCCTGAGAACCCTTTCAGGAAAGAATTTCTTCCTCATGTCCAATCTCAACTGCTCTTGGTGCAAATTGAGGCCATTTCCTCTTGTCCTGTCACTTGTTCCTTGGGAGAAGAGTAATGCTTAATGTTGCATTACTGTCCATTTCTGTTGACTAGATAACCTTTTTGGTATTATTAAGAGTAAAACATTAAAACACTGATCTGTCTTTTTTCCTCATTTTCTTCTGTGTCTAGTCATTGCAGTTATCATTTAATTTTCCACATTTGTAGGTACATTGCTGTTTGTGGATATAACTTTGCCTGTTTTAATTTTTATTTTAGTATTTTTACTAGTTACTATCTTAATATTGCAGCTGTTGCACAGTATTCATTTGGTTCAGAGGTTTAGGAGGACAGTTAACTGAAAGCATTTAATGTGACAGGAATTCTGAAGTGAGGTGTTGCAGTATCATGAAGCATCAATGTGTGCTGGAGGAAACCATGAAGAGCACTGAAGACATTTCAGGAAATAAGCAGAGAATGTGGTGTCAAAGTTTAATCAGGAGATAACAACCCTCTCCATCTGCCTGGATGTACAGCATTATGAATGTGAGGGGAACAGAGAAATAGCCCTGTCCAGTTAAAAAGCAGACTAGTGAGACAGTTACAGTCCCTTTTTATAAGTGTGTTAAAAGTTTATGGCCTTTTACAGGCTGTATGGGGGCAGTAAAACTATTATATCTGATTCTAATGGCAAAGACTGTAATACCAATGGGAAGTGGTAGGAATGCAATACCATTTCCCCCGCGGTGTGTAACAGCATTAAACTCTTCTGATCGGCCTTAAATGCCGTGTTGTGATTCCCTGACACAGAGAGGAAGAGGATGTGTTAGCAGATGTGGTACTTGCTGTGCACAAACAGCTGGAGCTTACACAAACAGCACAACGAACCACATCCAAAGGCCTCCATAGCTCTGAAACTGTCATATTTACATTTAGAAACAGACCTTCCCCCTTTCCCATGAGCATGACATTTATGGTATGGAATACCCCTGTTTGCCAGCTCGGGGCAGCTGCCCTGGCTTTTGCTCCTCCGAGCTCAAGCACCTGGCTGACTGGAAACTGCCAAGGGCCTGCGTACCATGGCTGGCTGATTATTCTATCCCAGTGAAACCAGGACAGCAGGTAAATTAGATTTTGGAAATAGAGGAAATTCTTATGTCTAACATACTAACCTAGTTAGTCAGCTTCTTTTGAGCCAGCTCAGCTTGCTGCATTATCTTTGATAATAAAGCCACAGTGTTAGGTTCTCCAGAGCGTATATCACTGCTCTGAATTGAAGTTGAATAGTGTTCCTCACAGTTAAGATCATTTCTATATTCAAACAATTATAACTAAAATACATGGTTGTAAAAAAAATTATGAAAACATACAGATAATGTGTGTTTATGATTGTGTGGAATTCCCAAAATTTTAGGAACTGGTGAAATCTGTTCTCAATCTTCACACCTAATTTATAGGTAGGGAAACAGAGTTCAAAGGGAAAAAGTATTATTTATTAATACACAGGAAATAAATTGTAAAATCAGAATAGGAACCTACAGACCTTACTTCTCTGTTTTCTATTTCAGTTTAAGGTTCCTTCTTCCTGTATGTTATAGGCAGAAACTGTCTGGGTTCCACTTTTAGACAAGTATTATGTTTATTACTCTCATGTTCTGATATTTACTGGACTGACATAACAGCATTTGGACTATTATAATGCA